AGGACTTTGTGGACTGGTGTTGGGTATGGGTTAATGTTGGACTTGTGGGCATGGGCAGCATTGAGTTGGGATGTTTTATGTGATGCACATTTTCTTTGCATAAAACTCTCTCTTATACATGAGTCGCTGTGGATTTGTTTCTCCAAAGTACTTAGACTAAAACACCCTCCCCCAAATATTTCCATGGCTTAAACACATTTCTTCTAACCAGGTCTGAGAGCTTTTTTTTTTTAAATAAAGAAACTGCAATGCCACCTAGCGAGTAAGGAGAGAATCTTTCACAAAAGAAATTTCTCCAGTTTGGAAAATTCCAGGGCAACCAACATTGTAAATAAGGGAGTGGTTCTTTTTCTTTGTATAAAAAGAATTATTCAACTTTATGAAGTAAAACTAAAACCACTGTTATAAAATATTTAAGAAAATGTAGTAGGGAAAAACAATGTGGCTGGTATTAAAAAACAACCCTGGAAGGCCGAGACCATCAGATTCAAATCCAGATTCTTTCACAAATCTCACTGTTGGTAGGTGGTCAAGTCATTCACTGACACTGTCTGACAGTGGGGTTTTTATCTTACAATGAGGTATTTGCCCCTAGACTAAGGACTCCCAAACTGACTAGTCATCAGAATCTAGAATGTTCTTTCTCCCCATAATTTTAAGCAAGCATTCAGGCAAGCATCCAACTACCCACTGCAAGTTCCAAAGATGAGGCTGCTTCTATAAAGACTTACAAAGCCTGGGAAACCCTGCGCAGGGTCAGTCTGGGTCAGGACTGACCTGATGGCAGTTGGTTTGGTTTAGGGGTTCACCTGGATTTCCTGAGTCAAAACGTTTGAGGTCAAGCCTAGAAATTTACATAGCAAACAAACGGAAAGATCTACACTTGGTATCTAAGGTTTTCTAACAAGCAAACAAAAAGTATCTTAGGATTTATAGCTATGAAATAAAAGTTTCTGAATAGTGAAATTCATTCAGCATATCAAATAACAGGTCTCCAGGAGGGAGGGCAGCAGAGGTTTCAATGTGGCCAAGTTAGAATTGTTCTTCCAATAATTATTCAGCAGAAGACAGCACTGAAACACCATTTTCTACCCATGCTGCAAATAGGCTGGCGGAGGTGGACTCCTAGTGGGGATAATTAGCATGCAGGCCACATGTCTGCTGGAGAACATGGGAGGAAAGAATGTAGTGAACATTTCCATGGTAGACAAGGGGCAGGAATTGCCCTGTCACCAGCAGTCACCCCAGTATCCAAGGAGCATGACAAGACAGGATCTTTTGTCCATTAGCATCAATGACTACTTTTCAAGTACATGAAACCCAGGCAGTAAAAGAGGGCTTTCCAATCCCCCCCCACACACACACACACACACACACACACACACACACACACACACACACCATGAAAAGAATGTTTAATAATGTAGCATTTCTTGTTAGATTTATGTTACCTTGTTCCAACTTTGGAAGAAAACCAATTAAATAGCAATACCCCCACCCTCACCTCCACTTTACTCTTTTGGAGAAAATGTACACGACTGAAGAACAAACTCACGTTGCCAATGGGGAAAACAATCATGTGACTAACGACAATAAAAGACAGCTAGAGAAAAAAAATACAAAAATCCTAAACACTACTAATTTTACAATAATAATACCCACTGACATTTCTTTAGTGCTATGCCAAATATCATGCAAACATCTTCCTTTAAACAGGCTTTTACATGAGATAGATTTAGATAATGATTTTGTTGTTGGGCATTTTTTAAAAAGTGTTAACAAGAAAAGATGTCCTTTGAGGACTCCGGTGCACCTAAATGAAGCCATAATATTTTCAATCTCCTCACATGCATGTCAAAGGTGTCTGATGAAAAGGAAAACTAGATTAGAATTTATGCATTTGCATGAATGATGTTGGGACAGGATATCAAATCTATCACGGACGGCAAGAAGAACAAACAAATCTGAATTGCATCCAGAGTGTTTCTTGGAAGAGAGGCTGGAGTGAATTCATCTCACTTATGTAAGTGTCCCTGGAGAGGGACATCCTCCTTCATAAAATTAGGTGCACTGACACCAGGGCTATAACGGTGCCTCTAACACAGCAATGATTGTGAGGATGGCGCAGGCCGGGAACGTTTCCTCCCATCTCACGAAGGGTCACTGAGTTGGAATCAAGTCAATGGCACTCAACAGCAAGCTATGTGATACAATCCAGATTATGTACGCTCTCAGAGTCCATTTCCTCATTTGCACAATACATATGGACAACGGTGGGGGGGCGGGGGGGACGGCAGATGTTCAAGAATTAAATGAGGTAAAATACTTGGCCTAGTACTTGACCTAGAGTTTGCCCCCACAGGTAGTTATCAAAGTAATTGCTTCCGTGGAGTAGGGAACCAGTGGAGAGGTCTAGGGGCCGGCCCCGATCCCAACTACTATGTGAACACCTGCCCCTCCCCCCTGAAGAATTTATTTCAAAGGAGGGCACTCAATATGCAGCTCCGGGAGAGGGGCATATCTGATTGGAGCACATGGGAGCAGATGAAGGGGGAGGAGGAGAGAGTAGAACGCATCCTGGCCCACCAGGCTTTGAGGACGATGTTCCGGCTCAGAGCAGCCAGTCCCCAGAGAGGACCATATGGCCGGCCTCACTATGAGACACTATGTCCCTCACTGACCCATAGCCCTACAGGGAACAATACTAGAGACACAGTGTGGGAATTGCCCCCGATCTAATCCCGCCACATCAAGGCAGAACACTAAGAGGGGTGCAACAGAACAGCAAGGGATCGGAGTGGCAAAGTCCCCAGGGAATGCTGAAGGTGGACTTTGGGGACAGAACGTGGTGCCCCAACAGACTGGACAGGAAAACACTCCTAAAGGCCAACAAACAGTCCTTGAACTAACTACAAGCTTTTCTTTCTTGTTGTGTTTTGTTTGTTTGTTGTTGTTTTGTTGTATATTGTTGCTTGGTTTTGTTCTGTCTTGTTTTTATGCATGTTATTATCTCCACAGTTCTGTCTAAATAAGATAGGCTGGATGAACAATCTGGAGGAAAAAACAATAGGATCAACAGTTCCGGGGGACATGAGAGAAGGAGAGGTGGAGGGGAAGGTAGTGGTGTTAACAAACCCAGGGACAAGGGAACAACAAGTGATCCAAATCGGTGGTGAGGAGGGTGTAGGAGGCCTGGTAGGGCATGATCAAGTGTAATATAACCAAGAGGAATTACTGAAACCCAAATGAAGACTGAGCATGATAGTTGGACAAGAGGAAAGTTAAAGGAAATAGAGGAAAGAGCTAGGAGGCAAAGGGCATTTATAGAGGTCTAAATAAAGGTATGCACATATACAAATATATCTATATATGACAATGGGGAAATAGGTCTATGTGCATATATTTAGAGGTTTAGTATTAAGGTAGCAGAAGGACACTGGGCCTCCACTCAAGTACTCCCTCAATGCAAGAATACTTTCTTCTATTAAATTGGCATTCTATGATGCTCACCTTCCCGATACAACCGCTGAAGACAAAGCAGGTGAATAAGCAAATGTGGTGAAGAAAGCTGATGGTGCCCGGCTATCAAAAGACATAGCGTCTGGGGTCTTAAAGGCTTGAAGGTAGACAACTGGCCATCTAGCTCAGAAACAATAAAGCCCACATGGAAGAAGCACACCAGCCTGTGATCACAAGCTGCCGAAGGGATCACTTATTAGGCACCAAAGAGCAAAAAATCATATCATTGTGTGTTTACCTCCCTGATATGATCACTGAAGACAAATAGGTGCATAAGCAAATGTGGCGAAGAAAGCTGATGGTGCCCAGCTATCAAAAGATATAGCGACACCAGCCTGTGCAATCACGAGGTGTCAAAGGGATCAGGTATCAGGCATCATCAGAACAAAAAATGATATCATAGTGAATGAGGTGGGGAGTGCGGAATGGAGACCCAAAGCCCATTTGTAGGCCACTGGACATCCCCTTACAGAAGGGTCTCAGGGAGAAGACGAGCCAGTCAGGGTGTGATGTAGCAACAATGAAACATACAACTTTCCTCTATTTCCTAAATGCTTCCCCCACCCCCACTCCCCCCACTATCATGATCTCAATTCTACCTTACAAATTTGGCTAGACCAGAGGATATACACTGGTACAGATAGGAACTGGAAACACAGGGAATCCAGGGCGGATGATCCCTTTAGGGAGGGTAAAGGGAGGGTGGGTTGGAAAGGGGGAACCGATTACAAGGATCTGCATGTGACCTCCTCCCTGGGGCACAGACAACAGAAAAGTGGGTGAAGGGAGACGTCGGACAGGGCAAGATATGACAAAATACTAATTTATAATTATCAAGGGTTCATGAGGTAGTGGGGAGCAGGGAGGGAGGGAAAAATGAGGAGCTGATGCTAGGGGCTTAGGTGGAGAGCAAATGTTTTGAGAATGACGAGGGTAATGAATGTACAAATGTGCTTTACACAATTGATGTGTGTATGGATTGTGATAAGAGTTGTATGAGCCCCTAATAAAACGATTAAAAAAAGTAATTGCTTCCAACTTCTGTGTATTCCTCATCATTTCATAGATGGGTGATCACACCCTTTCTTTTCATATCCCCAAACCACTAACCAATCAAATTATTCCATTTAGCGCATTACTTCCTACACTGTTCCTTTGATGACCTTTGAGACATAAATCAAATGTGAGTATTTCACTCATTTGGGCTGAATTGTGAGCAGCCACTAGGTACCTTTCTCAATTTAAACTCTTTATGCTTTTGTAGCCTCTGAACTTATTGCTAACCATTCATCCTCTGACCTTATTCCTAATCATTTCAATGCTATTTATCTTCTACTATCCCCAGTCCCACAATTTACGTCATGCTACCCACACAGAAAAGAATGCAAATCCCAACCCAAACCTTCAGCGCTTCCCCTAAAAGAACACAAACTGTTGTGCTGCTCCCCTTCCTGAAATATTCTTTTTCCTTCTTCCCTTTGGTACCTATTATCATAGTATAAAACATTTATTTATATCCTGGTAATTTCTTTCGTTCAGAAATCTACTATTTTCAGCTCAGTCTTCATCCTTCTGAACACATATGTCTGTACACCCCCCACATACTCTCAGCAGCCCAGCACATAATGCACTATGCCATGAAGGCTATGGCTGATATTCAAACTAGCCACCAGAATGACCTAGCACAGGCCACAGTTATGGGCCAAGTTCCCGAGGACCCCCTGCTGTGCCAGGTGGCAACCAGACTGCAGGAGGCACAAGAAAGCCCCGTGGAAGGGACAACATGGACAGGTTGACAGGGAATTTGGAAACACACATATTTACTACATGTTATGTGATATTTAAATGTGTCTATTCTCAGGATAGCTGCACCGGTAAAAAGCACTTGAGTATGTGTCCTGCTGATACTACCTGCTGTTGAGATAAACCTTCCGGCATTGGGGTCATGATGGCTTCGGGGTGCTTGCAGTCAACATCAATGAATAAATTTTGATCTTCTTCCAGACAAGATCTGTGATCTTAAAAACAAGTTAAAATACACTAGTGTTAAATTGAAATAAAATAGTGATAACACAGCACAGTAAATGTCAAATAGAGGCTTACTGTATAAATTTCAGCCTTACATATTTACTTTCAACTCATCAATTATTAAATTGAAATTTTAATATGTCCAATAAAATATATTCCCCATATGATTATCGCAGTGCTGGCCAATATTTAATTTTTTTTCAAGTACTTGAAATGTAATTTCAAAGCCTAGTGATATCATTTGACTAACAATAAAATCTTAATTTATTGCTGGATAAATAAAATCAATCTTCATTTATTGTTAAATTTTCTTAACCTATTAAATATCCTTATCAAAAGCAAAGGATGGCAACTATTAATGCCTAAGAATCTGAACTCTGACTCACTAGCACAGTGAAAACTCAGGAGGGGCTGTGCATAGTTTGTGACTTTCTGCAAGCTCCTCTCACTTGAAGTCTGAAAGGGCCCAGGTCCAAGTCAGAAAGTCCAGGGGGAAAATCAGTCTCTGAAGAATGAAAAACAAGGAGCAAACTGCTGCCCTGCGGCCTGGGCCCATGGCGATGCCCTGTGCTTCGCAGCTGCCTGTGCCCCACTGGCCTTTCACGAGCAGACCATCACGCGTGTCTTCTGTGCCACTCCCGGTGGGTTTGATGGATTAGCCTTTCTGTTGGCAGCTGGGCACTTAAGCTCTTGGCGCACTGGTTGCCATCTAGGGGCTGCTGAATCACAGTGGGTCCCGCTGCTGCTGTGCACGGTGGCCTCGATTCCACCCCACAACGACCCCAGGTGGCTGAGTGGGGCGCCATCAGAGGCTTTCCTCGAGTGCACTCTTCGTGGGGACACTGCCCAGTCTTTTCTTCTGGGAGTTCCAGTCCCTTTCAGTAAGCAGCTAAGAGCTTAACCAGTGGGTCACCAGGGCTTATTATAAGGATCCCTCAAAAACTCAAAACTCACTGCCATCAAGCCGATTCCAACTCAAAGCCACCCTGCAGGACAGGGTAGAACCCCCCCACCCCCACCCCACCCCCGTTTGTGTTTGGGAGACTGCAATTCTTCACAAAGTAGAAGCCCTGAAACCCAGCTAAATACATTCAAGAATATGTTCAAGAACTTTTAAAAAGCTGGAAACTGAAACCAAGGAACTTGCAGGTAATATAAACTTGGATATCATTAAATTTCAAACATTTAAGACCCTGGCTGCACATAAAAATTATCCGGAGAACACTTTTTAGAATAGTAAATACAGGCTTCACCATCAGAGATTGATCTCACTGTCTGGGCAGGGACTGGGTACACAGCACTGCTTCCACAGCGTCCCAGTGCTCCCTAAGGGCAGCCACGCTTACCCTCTAGTTAGCCTGACCTTCTCATTGTGCAACTCAGGCAACTAAGGGCAAAAGTTACTGGAATTTGCCTCATAAACTGCTGCACCTCTCGAATGCACCCCCAGAGACTATCTCCCCTAGAACGGAGACGAATCATTTAAAACTCTTCATATGCTCTTCATAGCTCTTCTTAGACAAGTCATGCGCATCCCATCACTCGGGCATTTTGCTACTGTGCAGCTTCAGACTCAGCAGGGGTGTTGGTGGAGGGGCCCGAGTGCCTGCATTTCCACAGCTCCTGCAGTCTGGGACCTAGATCGTGGTCTGCGGGGCGCTGGTGGTGCAGTGTATTAAGCACCGGGTTCCGAACTGTACGGTGGGACAGTTCTAACCCTGCAGCTGCTCCTGGGGTGAAGATGAAGCTGTCTGCTCCCGTAAAGAGTTAGAGCTTCAGAAGCCACTGAGAGCAGGACTCTATACAGTCATACTCTATGGAGTCACTATCAATCCAAGTCGACTTGATGGCAACTTTGTTTTTGTTACGAGATTATGGCATTGCTGCTATCCATGAGCCATGCTGCAGATCTCAGAATGGGGGTCCTGAATCCCAACAACTGCATCTAACAAAATCCTACCCCTGGTTTCGGGGGGCAGCGCAAGCCACGGCGTCGCAGGTTTCCCTAGCATCAGCAGTCATAATTCACTGCCCTTCTTTGGTGCTCTTTCTCAAGCAAGCGCCTCAATTACAGAACATCGTATTAAGGGTTAGGGAATTCACGCACTTGTATCCCTCACAAAATAAAATCCTTAGGAATGCTAATAATTGCTTTCCTATCTTGATGCTGAAGATTTTACTAGGAGGAAAGAAAGAAAGAAAGAAAGAAAGAAAGAAAGAAAGAAAGAAAGAAAGAAA